AAAATTCAGGAAAGAAACAGGAGCATATATCAAAATAGCCAGTGTTCCTTTTTACATACTCTAATCATCAATTATTTACCTACATACATTGATGAAACTATTAATATATCTAAAACTAGATTCAATTGGAATTTTCGGTAAGCATTCTGTGTGTGTTTAAAAAGAAAATCTCTATTTGAATATACCTCCTACAGGAATTCAAATACAAAATGAATTGTAGAGCATACCACACATAAACTCTGCACATTAAGTAAGCAGTTGAGCAGTTAAATCTACTTGGAGGAATGGATGGTATAAATTTCCTTCTATTCAGCTGTATGACCCTTCCTCTTCATTCTCACAAGCTTTGACCTTGGCCACCAATTAAGTTCTGATCCTGCCACTCCAGGACCTGGATGTCCTTAAAGACAACCTCCTGAACTTTTGGCTTTTGGTATTAACTTCTCTTTAAATGTAAGTGATCTTTGAGCATTTTGGATTGTGATGGGTGTACACTGGATTAGCTTATTATGGCCTCTTTTCAAAAACCTTAATATTTCAGTCGTTTATGACAGATAGAACTTTGTCATTTCTCTCTGTGCCTCTTTGTCATAGCCATACTGTGTTTGAAGGCGGGTGTAATAAAGTGGAGCTGAAATGGGGATTCATTGACCCAACCCTGAAGAGAACATGTTCTAGTAGGTAATCTGAAAAACAAACATCATTTCTTATAGATATCATAAACACTGCCAACCTTGCTTTATGAGTAAACAAAATTTTTTAATGTAATTTAAAGTGCCTTTTCTAAAGCCAAAATGTGCTAATCTATCATTTTACACACACACACACACACACACACACACACACACACACACACACACCACTTACGGCTTTCTTGAGCCCTGTCTGAATTTTAGGATGCATAGTGGATTAGATAAATTATCTAGTGGGCAAGTGACAAGTTCCATGTTCCTGTTCATGCAAGGTATTTTACTCAGGGCAAAATCTGTCTCAAAGGTGTAAGATTTGAAATTATTTCTTTTCCAAAATTCTCCTTAGTTTCTGTTTTGTTGGTTATAGCCTAACTTTTTTAACTTTACATTGTTTTCAAGGGGAAATTATGCCCCTTTTGATACAAAGTCATGTGTTAAGGAAAAGCAGTCTTTGGGGAGAAAGAAGCAAACTAGTAAACGAAAAAAATGAGACATTGTAATAGCAAATGTATTTTGAATTAGAGCATTGGAAAGAAAATAACAATCATTTTCATAAATAAGACACCAAGTTCAAAGATCTATGTTCAATAGTCTATTTTCAGCCATCTTGATAATGAACTGGGCAGCCACCATTAACAATATGTGATATGATCCTTGGGTCAAGATATCAGAAATACCACAGGCCTTCTGAAAGGTTGTCCCTTAATCTACATTTTGCTCAAGATCCCTTTCCAGTTCTAATACCATCTAGTTTTATGAAAAAGAAAGAAAAGCAGGGAAAATTTGACCCTCTAGAGAACAGGAGTTATCATTTTGCATTTCGCAGCACGAAGGAAGACGTGTCAATGTCTTTTGTTTTAATTCATTTCAACATATTGAACACTTACTCAAATAGCAAAGTTACACAAGAATGACGAAAGCATTTGGAAAAGAACAGCTTCATTTATTTGAGACAACTTTGTGTCCGTACAAGAAAACAGATTGAAAGGATTCTCCAGATTATTTAGATAAACCTCAAAGTTGAGTAAGAATATGAGAAGGCAGTGGTGTAGGAATTCTTCTGAGTTTTAAGCTAGTCTACAATCCATAAAGCCCTGAGAAGTTTAACTATAGTCATTCTATTTCCACATAAAGTCATGACAACAAAGCAACGTTAATAATCTTAACATTGTGCTTCCTAGAACTCTCCAAAGAGTCCACTGAAATTTTCTTAGAAGGGATTGTTTTTAAAGTCCTCACCCATGAGAGGATCCAGGCAAGTCCATACCCCTCTGCCAGTGACACATACCTTTGCCCATTGTCATTCAGGGCAAAGCGTGGTTCGCCTTTCATCAAAAAGACTGACTGAGTTTGGACTGGTACGTAAGCTTTCCACCTATTCCAGTAAGCTGAGTACTTCCTTTCACTCCATATTTGTTTAATTGGCTCAAGTGGAACCGATCTTAGGACCTGGACAAATATGAATGTTTGTTTTTGAAAGGATTTGGGGGACGGGTCCAAACTAATGTAACAACTGACCCTTCTTCCCACTGGGAGATGAAAGAGATTCAGTTACTGCTTGGGCTTTACCGGCATAAAAAGCGAAGTAGAGGGCTTCCCTGGTGGCGCAGTGGCTGGGAGTCCGCCTGCCGATGCAGGGGACGCAGGTTCGTGCCCCGGTCCGGGAGGATCCCACATGCCGCGGAGCGGCTGGGCCCCTGAGCCATGGCCGCTGAGCCTGCGCGTCCGGAGCCTGAGCTCCGCAACGGGAGAGGCCACGACAGTGAGAGGCCCGCGTACCGAAAAAAAAAAAGTGACGTAGAAAACGGGGGCACTTCTGCCTCCATTATCCAGTATTTCTGGTGGAGCTCATGTTGCAGCAAAAAATAGAAATGAAGTTTTCCCTCTCCTGAGAGCAAGGAAAATAAAGGGAACAGTGAACAGGCTAGAGAAGAAACATAAACTGGCCTGAGTTAATCAATCCTAGTTTTAACTGTTACTAATCTGTAGTGTCTGTAGTTAGATTTGTCCTTCACAAAGCTAACCTGTCACCTCTAATCCTGTGTAATTTAGGCAATTTACATTCTGCCCCTGGTATTTGCTCCCCCTGTAATCTCTTGTAGCAAATCACCCCTGGTAGCTGTTTGCATTTCAGAAAGGAGGTTGCAGACTGTTAACCCAGAGACTACCGGACCCAATTACTGGGTTGCCCAACTCCAGCAGTGACTGTTTTGAAATAATGCAAGAAGAAGAATGCAAGACGTTCACCATTTTGACCCTTATCACTCACTTCGGACTGAGAACTTCCCTGTAAGAATCCCTGTAATTCCTCAGGAAAGGGGGGCACAGTTCTTGAGGTGCTAGCCTACTGTGTCTTCCCTTTGCCTGGCAAGGAAAATAAAAAGCCTCTCTATTTCTTATCCTCCAGATCTCTGTCTCCATATTTCTACTCGGCATCAGTGCACAGGGAGCCAGAATTTGTTGGCAACACTTAGAGCTAAAATGTCTTCATTCTCCTCAGGTCTCTATGCCAAAGTTAACAGCAGGTCGAATCCCTTTGGCCTAAGGATTTTGTTTCCTCTGCTAGTTCCAAACCCTTTCTGGCCTCAAAAGTGAGTCAGGCTGGCCTCAACTTCTCAACGGAGTTATAATCATTCACTTTCCTGCACATTACATGGTTGACAGCAGTAGTCTCACAAACATTGCTTCAGTTGACTCTCATAATGAACTCTGGTGTTGAGAAGATAGATATTGTTAACTCTGATTTTGTCTTAGGATACTGAGTACATACTTCCACTTTTGACACCTTGTTTTGAAAATGTGGCTGAACCCTCCCAACGGTGACAGTCGCTCAGTGGAAACGTGGAGGATTCAGTCAAACTGGTTATTTGTCCCTGGGCGTGTGTCACTGTCCAGGGTTTCTTCATTTCCATGGGCTTCCTGTCTCTCATGTCTCTGGTTTCTAACTGCAATCGTATCTCATTCTTCATTTTGTCTCATGCAAAAGTTCAGAAGTTCTTCATCACTAAGAGTCCTCAGGAACAAGGGAAGCTCACATAACTAGGTAAGATCAAAATTTATCACAATCGGGAGACAGGTTGGGAGTGGTAGCCAGGTGTAAGGGCTCTGTGCTGAGGCTGCCTTTGTTCCTGTCCTAGTTCTGTCACCTCTCTGTTCTGTAACCTTGGGCAGATCTTTCATCTCTCTAAGCCTTTGTTAATTTCATTGACAAAACGAGGATGATAACAGTAGCTGCTTTATGGCATTTCTCTGAGGTTTAAATAACACAATGTGAAGCATTTAGAACAGTGTCTGACACAAGCTAAGCCCTCAATAGTTATTAGTTTCTAAATGTTTTTAATTATATAACATTTACAAAAGTAAAATCGTCTTCATCCAGATAGCAAATTTATGGAAAGCTATTTAACTTCAAAAGTAAATTCTGAATTTCTAGAAGTCTGTCATTAATTGGTTACAGTAAAGCCTCTCTGATGTTATTCTCTTGTTCGTTCTTAGATTTTAAAAAAATAGTGAAAGCTCACACTGGGTTTAGTGCTTTGTGTGTCGCTTAATCCTCCCTACAGCCCTATAAGGTAAGTTACATTATTATCCTAATGCTACCAGCAAGAAAACCAGGAGACAAAGCTACTGAATAACTTACCGAAGGTCAGAAATCTTGTTCATGGTGAGGCTGGACTTCAAACTCAGGCCATTGGACTGCAACTCCCCTATGATGAGTAATCTGCCTTGCGATTATGGTCAGGCTGGTTTGAGGAGACGCTTTTAAGCCGTGCCAAGGAAGAGACACTGCACATTTAAATGTGCAAAATTTGCCTTTGGGTGTCCACAAGAAAAATAATCACATCACTTAAAACTGATCATAAGCCTGTTTGCTTGAAGCTTCATTGTTCATCGCTCTTGTTTTTTTGGTGGGTTGCTGGATGAGACTAGAGGATAACTCCACTTTTAGCTTTGCCATGGTATGGAAACTTGTCCGCTGAATCTTTATATGTTCTGGCAACTCACAGGTGAGCAAAGATTTAAATTAATTAAAAAGCTTAGATTAAAATAAAACAAAAAATAAGCCTTCATACTAGATTGAATTCATTTCATTTCTGGAAGTGGACTATGTCAGGGTAATTTGTATGTGAAAAAAAACAGATTAATAGTGCTCGGAGTTAGCTCACTGTATTTACTCCCTTCCACACTGTCTCAGCTTTCTCAGGATGTTAGTCAAGTTTTCATTAGGGGACTATTTTAATTTCGTTAATCAACTTTGACATGTAACATTAATCTGTGGTTATTAAATGTTTTACGCCAGGCATTCGCATGATGTGGCTGTTTTTAACAACAACCTATTTGATTTGTGGAACTTTAAATGCTGGTGGATTCTTTAATTTGGAGAAAGAAGCAAATCCTGAAGTGTGGATGAATATTGTAAGTGATGGAAAATTCCAAAGACCATCAAATAAAGCAGATCAGTTGATTGTGAGATATTAAAGTTCCTGTATGGCAGAAAAACCTCTGATAAGAAAACATAAAACATGGGTGATTTTTAACATTTCCCCAAGAGTTAAGCTAGGTAGATCTTCTTTTTTGGCTGAATAAGTAATATTTTCTAGCAATATAAAGCAGAATTATATTTTTTATAGATAACTTCCTCTTTTGAATTTACATTTTTAAGAATATTAAGAATTTCTTTTATTTTATTTTATATTTACATACTCTTTTTATTTTAACATCTTTATTGGGGTATAATTGCTTTACAATGGTGTGTTAGTTTCTGCTTTATAACAGAGTGAATCAGTTATACATATACATATGTTCCCATATCTCTTCCCTCTTTGTCTCCCTCCCTCCCACCCTCCCTATCCCCCCCCTCCAGACAGCCACAAAGAACCGAGCCTGTTTCCCTGTGCCATGCGGCTGCTTCCCACTGGCTATCTACCTTACGTTTGTTAGTATATATATGTCCATGTCTCTCTCTCGCCCTATCACACCTCACCCTTCCCCCTCCCCATATCCTCAAGTCCGTTCTCCAGTATGTCTGTGTCTTTATTCCTGTCTTACCCCTAGGTTCTTCATAACATTTTTTTTTCTTAAATTCCATATATATGTGTTAGCATATGGTATTTGTCTCTCTCTTTCTGACTTACTTCACTCTGTATGACAGACTCTAGGTCTATCCACCTCATTACAAATAGCTCAATTTCGTTTCTTTTTATGGCTGAGTAATATTCCATTGTATATATGTGCCACATCTTCTTTATCCATTCATCCGACGATGGGCACTTAGGCTGTTTCCATCTCTGGGCTATTGTAAATAGAGCTGCAATGAACACTTTGGTACATGACTCTTTTTGAATTATGGTTTTCTCAGGGTATATGCCCAGTAGTGGGATTGCTGGGTCATATGGTAGTTCTATTTGTAGTTTTTTAAGGAACCTCCATACTGTTCTCCATAGTGGCTGAACCAATTCACAGTCCCACCAGCAGTGCAAGAGTGTTCCCTTTTCTCCACACCCTCTCCAGCATTTATTGTTTCTAGATGTTTTGATGATGGCCATTCTGACTGGTGTGAGATGATATCTCATTGTAGTTTTGATTTGCATTTCTCTAATGATTAATGATGTTGAGCATTCTTGCATGTGTTTGTTGGCAATCTGTATATCTTCTTTGGAGAAATGTCTATTTAGGTCTTCTGCCCATTTTTGGATTGGGTTGTTTATTTTTTTGTTATTGAGCTGCATGAGCTGCCTGTAAATTTTGGAGATTAATCCTTTGTCAGTTGATTTAAGCCCTCTGGATTATATATATGACTGCCCTCTACTGGACTATGGTTTTATTATATTTAAACCAAGAGGGGTCTCAAAAGACAATTGACACATATATATGTATAACTTAATCGCTTTGTCCTATACCTGAAACTAACACAACATTGTTAATCAACTATACTCCAATATAAAACAAAAAGTTAAAAAAAAGTGGTATATACATACACACACACACACACACACACACAATGGAATTTTACTTAGCCATAAAAAAGAATAAAATAATGCCATTTGCAGCTACACTGATGGACATAGAGATGATCATACTAAGTGAAGTAAGTCAGAAAGAGAAGGACAAATACCATATGATGTCACTTATATGTGGAATCTAAAATATGACACAAATGAACTTATCTTCGGAATCTAAAACACAAATGAACTTATCTACAAAACAGAAACAAACTCACAGACGTAGAGAACAGACTTGTGGTTGCTGGGGGGGTGGGGCGGGGCAGGGTTTGGGACTAGCAGATGCAAACTATTACATATAGAATGGATAAACAACAAGGTTCTATTGTCTAGCGCAGGGAACTGTATTCAATATCCTGTAATAAACCATAATGGAAAAGGATATGAAAAAGAATATATATAATATATATATGTGTGTATATATATATATAAAACTGAATTACTCTGCTGTACACCAGAAACTAACACAACTTTGTAAATCAACTATGCTTCATTCAAATATATATATGTATACTTTAAAAAAATAAAAGACAAATGACTTGAGAGTATAGTTTTGTCAGAAGAGTGGGTCAAGGCTAGATATTATCTCCAACCCCCCCAAAAAAATTTACACTAGCATTTTCTAAGAGTCTACTTATTTTTCTATCAAGACTTTATGCAGTAAATTAATTTTACAGTTACCTGGGGCTACAGATTTCAGGTAATTTACCCCAAAAAGCACACACTAGTTGCTTTTTTCTAGTTCCTTTTGATAACCTTTAGAGAAGATGTTTAGCTAACGCTCATATTTTTACTGGGCAGAGTGAAATCATCACCTACAATGGCTACCCCAGTGAGGAGTACGAAGTAACCACGCAAGATGGGTACATACTCAGTGTCAACAGAATTCCCCATGGACAAAGAGACACTAGGAGCACAGGTAGCAGATGTGTCTCTTCCTGAGAAGGAGAATTGCATATGACTAAAGTTTATTGCTGGCTGTTCATTAAGACAATGACTGATTTATCAAAATTGGTTTGAATTTTGGATTAGTCTTTACATTGTTAACAGGGAGTCTCATTCTTTTCCAATTCTCTGAAGACAGGCAAGAACCTACAATTACAAAGAGCAAGACTGATCTTGACTGCCGCCAGGCTTTCTTCTTAGGGAGTAAATGCAGAGGTGGAGCCTACATATTGTTAGCTCATTACTGATTTCTCATGTGGAAAATTGCTGTATTCCGAATAGTGGGTTTCCTCACTGTTGGAAAGAGATTGGCTGGGTTGTATGAAGCTGGCTGCGGGGTATCCCAAAAGAGTCTCTCCTGCCCCCTCTAGAATCAACAGGCCTCCCTCTGCAGGATAAAAAAAAAAACCCAATTAAATGACAGTGGCATTTCTGAAACTTTTTCCAGGAAGGAAAACTTTAACATTCATGTATGCTTTGACCTGAGGAACAGACAGTTTATGCAATGAAAGAGCATGGGGTTACTAAGGCTCCGTTCTAGAATGAGGAACGAGCCATGCAAAAGCAGACGAATTACACTCTTTAAAAGGGGAAACAGGGCTTCCTTGGTGGTGCAGTGGTTGAGAGTCCGCCTGCAGGGGACGCGGGTTCGTGCCCCGGTCTGGGAAGACCCCACATGCCGCAGAGCAGCTGGGCCCGTGAGCCATGGCTGCTGAGCCTGCACGTCCGGAGCCTGTGCTCCGCGGCGGAAGAGGCCACAGCAGTGAGAGGCCTACGTACCGCCAAAAAAAAAAAAAAAAAAAAAAAGGTGGGAGGGGTGGAAATATAACTGCAAAGTCCCCGAGGAGGGAGAGAGAAGAGCAAGCAAAATATCTGCAAAGGCCCAGTGGCCTTTACCTACCAAATCATTTACCATGAGATGATTCATGGTAAATGAGACCATTTACCATGAATCATCTCATCTCCCATCCACATTTAGAGGCAGCTAAAATGATGTAGTTCAAGAATTCAAGAGTTTCACAATAAAAACTGCGAGTGGGACATGGGTAGGATTACTATCTAAAATATGAGATGCCCAGCTAAAGTTGAATTTCTGATAAACAGCAGATGAGTTTTTCGTGTAAATCTCACTTTATGATGTACTTATATGAAAAAGTTATTCATTGTTAATCTGAAATTCAAATTTAACAGAGCATCCTGGGTCATTTTGTTTATCTTTGTTTTGGTTTTTGCTAAATCTTGCAATATTAGGCACGGCGAGGGGTGGGGTAGGGAGGTGCTATGAAACATAAAAGGAGAAAACTTTTACAAGAAAGGCTTTACTTAAGGAGGGAGAATTTGGGGGAAGATTTGGAGTTAAAAGACATTTATTAGGTGTATCTTTCTAAATGCTTTAAATGAATTAAATCAATTAAACCTCCCAGAAACCCTATGAAGTTGGCACTATTAAGAGTTACCATTTTACAGATCATGAAACTGAGGTAAAACAGGTTATGTAATAGGCTCCAAGTCACACAAATGGCAAATGACAGAACCAGAATTCAAACCCAGAAAGCCTGACTCCAGAGCCTGTGCTCTTAACTACTAAGTTATAGAATCTTCCATTCTGGTTCTTTTCCTCAGAAACTTGAGCGTTCACAAGAGGGCGTTGAGCTGATTTTACTGCTATAGTTTTCAAATACGCTTCAGTGGGCAGAGGCTGGGGGTTTGACTGGAAGTTTGGTGAGGAAATAGTCATTGTACATTTATGCTCACCTCCCCCTCCTCCTGGAGGAGGCATAAGACTCCATCAAACATGATCATCTTCATGCCTCTGTAAGTCAAACCCAGGAGATATGTAAAAGTGAATACATAGTGCAGAGCAGTTACAAGCACACGCTTTGGCATGAAACAGAACCAGGCTTGAGTCTTACCCATGTACCTTATTAGCTGAATGACCCCTTAGGAAAGTTACTTAACTACCTTAAGTCGCCACATGTATAAAATGAGGATCCTCAAAGTAGGACCTACTTTATAGAGTTATTGTAAGAATTTAATAAGCTCATGCATGTCAACCAATCAGCATAACACCAGGTACAAAGTATGTGCTCAAAAAACTTGTTATGTGATTACAACACTCTACACTAATGACAAGAGGAAAAGTGAATGCTGTTTTTGGTTTTTGCTTTTCCCAGTGTGTGTGTGTGTGTGTGTGTGTGTGTGTGTGTGTGTGTGTGTGTTTCTGTCATGTTCCTGAGATGCTTTATTTATTATAAATTTCTCTCTCTTCCTTCCTCCCTCCTTCCAGGTGCCCAGCCAGTTGTATACTTGCAGCATGCTCTGTTTGCAGACAGTGCCTCCTGGCTTGAGAATTACGCCAATGGCAGCCTTGGATTCCTTCTAGCAGATGCAGGTTACGACGTATGGATGGGAAACAGTCGGGGCAACACTTGGTCAAGGAGACACAAAACACTCTCAGTGAATGAAGAGGAATTCTGGGCCTTTAGGTAAACTATATCTATGAAAGTTCATGAAGGCAATTTAAGACAAGTCCTTTAAATATAATAGTGTGGGTGGTATTAACAATAACGTATGATACTTGGAGTCACGCAGCTCCTTGTAATTTCTATTAACATCTAGAAGGAAATAAATAGCAAGAAGCTCTGATTTCCATTGATTCTCCCACAAGCGAATTATATCATTTCAACAGGGTCATTTTAACATACAATTCTATCCAATACTATACATTATGAGTATGTCCCAAGGGACAGCTTAGGAAATTCCTGTGACCAAAGTATGCACTCATTCAACCAATGTTTATTGAGTGCCTACTCTATGCACTGTTCTAGGCCCTGAGCATTCAAGAGTGAACAAAGTCTCTGCCCTCATGAAACTTATGTTTATCCTAGTGATGCTATTACAAGTTTTTTCTCTTGGACAGCCAATCAGTTTTGCAAAGAAGATGTGTATCAGTACCATATTTTACCTACAGACACTGTGGTTGAGAATGTATAGAATACCATTTTCAGGATAACTCTAACATGAGATCTTTAAAACCTTGTTAATAGGCAATAGAAAAGAATCCTTTGATATGCTGACTGCTTCTTTTAATGAAAGTGTTTTCTGCTGTCACCAAAGGACAGGCTGATGCCAACAGTGGACATCCTTTCTCAGACTTAAACTCCCTGTTGGTTTAAAGCCTGCTGCTAGAGCAAAACCATATTAATGAAATATTCAGTACCCACTGACAAGTTGGAAGGAAAGAAAGAATAGATGAAATTGTTGGGGTCAGATCTTTTGCCCCAGGGCAAGAATTGGGAAATATTTTGTGTGGTTGGTCCTTGGCTGGGAGCTTGGAGCTTATTTACTATAAGGCATCACAACCATTCTCTTATACTGGAGAGTACCGATCTCTATTTCCTCTCATGTTCTTCTAATAAGCAGGCCCTTAGTTCCTGAGGTACCTAATTCTACTATATGTTATTTAAGTCTTTTTTTTTTGCGGTACGCGGGCCTCTCACCGTTGTGGTCTCTCCCATTGTGGAGCACAGGCTCCGGACGCGCAGGCTCAGCGGCCATGGCTCATGGGCCCAGCCGCTCCGCAGCATGTGGGATCTTCCCAGACCGGGGCACGAACCCGCGTCCCCTGCATCGGCAGGTGGACTCCCAACCACTGCACCGTCAGGGAAGCCCTATTTAGGCCTTTTTTGTTCTCTTGTATTAATGTTGGTTGAACTGGTACTATAGGATTTTGGTATATATTGAATATATCTCTATATGGACAGAAATATTAATAATAGCAACATCTGACTGTCTAATAGCAGCCAGAGCCATTCCTTTAATACTATCCAGCCCCTATAGCAGCCCTGCCATAAAGTATTATCATGTTCATTTCACAGATAAGGAAACTTAAGCTCAGAGCATTTAAGTAACTTATGAAAAGTTACTCAGCTAGTACATGGTAGAATCATGATTTACAACCAGTTCTGTTTCCAAAACTGGGTATTAAGTGGCCCTAAGAGTCTTGAAGTTCCCTGGGGGAGACTGAAGCAGAGGCATGCAAACCAGGTAGGGAA